GTTAAAGGCATGGCCTCACCGTTAATATTTAAAAAAAAAAAAAACAAAAAAAAAAAAAAAAAAAAAATATATGAATTTTTAAAGATTAAATATAAAAATTTACTATTAAAATTCTTTTATAGTTTTTTGGAAATTAATTAATTAAAGTTGACTCTTTTGTATAATTAGAAAAAACACAGAATATCTAAAAAATATTTAAAATATATACAAATATATATTTTTTAAATTAAACCTCTTATAAAATTTTAATATAATAAATAACTTATTTAAATCTATATCTTACTAAATTTTAATAAAAATTAATTTAAAAATAAAAAAGTTTTATTAGTAATATATTTTAATTTATTATGTAAAATCTATTATACTATCTAGGTTATATTAAAAATAATCTACATACATCCTATTCTTAATATAAGTTTAATTGGATTTTTATTTTGGGTGTATATGTAAATTGATAATAGATGAAAGGTTATTATAGAAAAAAAATGCAATGTGAAATTTTTTGCATTTTAACAAAAATAACTTTAACAAAGATGATGTAAATATCTTTTAAAATATAAATTTCTAAAAATTTTAGTTTACTAAATTAGGATAATGCAACTCTTATTTTATTTATTTATTTATTTGTTTTATAAATAAATTAATTCTTTACTTAAAACTAATTCTATCTTCCTATCTTCATTTTTATTACATAAATTTGAGTCAGGAATAGTCTTTATTTTGCTGATTTTACTAGCTATTTTCGCTAACTATGTTTGCTGCTAATTTCCACTGGCTCTAATAGTGTTGAGCAAACCAAAACTGATTTTATCTAAATCGATGACCTGTCAACTACCAAGTCTGTTTCTGCTATATACATCTAATAGTTTAATGTTTTCAAACATGGTAACCTCTTAATACTATACACAATGCATTGGATTAGAGAAGTTCGACTGTAATATTAATGCATAATAATTATGAGAGGGTGAAATCCGCGATTACGTTATTGATGCAGATCTTAGTTAATTAGGGTTAGTAATGGGTGATCTGCATCAATAGCGTGGCGGGTTGTATTATATAATGATTTTATTGTCAGGTGATACTCGGAAAACAGACTAAAACCTTAGTATATATTTGGGTTAAAGTTTGGGTTAAGGCTAGAGAGAACAACAACATAGCAAAATTGCACAAGGAATTTTTTGTTAGTACTCTAAAGACATTTTACTAAACAAAATTGTGAGATAAATGCGGCTTTTGCAAAGCGTACGTTTGTTTGAATTTCACGTTACACCTAATACTGATTTTTAATTGGCTGATTGTCATTGGAAAATCATGTGACAGTAAAACCGATCCTACGCCATGAAGTTGTTGGTCTCTCTGTTTTTGTTTATCCATATATTAACTACGTACTAATAATCAATTTAGCTTCTCTCCTAATTAGGAAGGAAAATATATTTTGTTAATAAAAAACGACGTATCACAATTTAATAAGGAAACGATTTTCATTATTTGGTTAACAAATATTTAATTTGCGTTCTTATTCGATCGTTAAAGAATTCCTCTTCCACCTAGTTTACTCCTTTGCGACAAAATGAAACTTCACTCAGTCATTATTTTGTTAATTGTTTTCGTGTCTTTCACTTTGGCTTATCCTAATGAAGGACCAAGAAAATTTCCATCCCCAGTTCCTGCTCTGAAGAAACGTATCGAAAACGAGGATAGTTATTCAAACGAATAATGTTTATACGTAAAAAAGATGGGTTTTTTTTAAAAAAACAACCCAATATTTACTTTACCTACTTTATTTGCACAAAAAGAATAAAATCAATTGGACCATAATATTTTATTTTTTGATTTACTTGCGACTTAAATATGAACGTTTTCTTTGCATTATATATCTGATACATATTATTATTATAAAGAAATCTCACTATTTCAAACAAAATAATCATTATAGCACATAATACTATCATATATTACAAGTACGAGGTTCTTACGTTATTTTTTAAATGATTTAATTTAGTTCGGTTTAATTTATATTCAGTATAAAATTTTATTTACCAAAACGGGATTTTGTTGTTCATCTTACATTGTATAAGAATTGATTTATTTATATTTAGAATTTTTCTTTCAATAAACAAGTTTTGGTATATATACCTTTTTTACGAGAAGGATGGAAAATGTGCATTTGATACTTGTTTATACATAAAGTTTGAGTTGCCTCAACCATGTTCTTGGAAATATGAAATAAAAAGTTGGCAAGTTTTTATTACCGAGAATGCCTTGAAGTTAATAAATAAGTATCTTTATTAATTCATTTGTTTTTGATAACGGTTGTTGGCATTATAGTAAGAATCAGGGTCATTATGTCATATTTAAAAGCATATTTTATACAGAGAAAATTTGGCATAATTATATAAGCCAACGGATGGTATAAATTGATATTTTCAATGCTGGAGCAGAATTATTGTCACATCAATTTTGGAAAATTGTGAATGGTGAACATAAGTCATTGGTTGGATCCGGATCAACAAAAAAAAAGTCATCGACGAAGTTTCATAGAAAAGCTTTATTTAATTTACTAATTTATGTAAATTACAGAATTAAGTATATGAATGAATTCTTTAGTACATATTACGAAACCTTGTTCTTTGAATAATAAATTTATCGTATTTATCATATTTTCTGTTATTATAATCTTTACAAATAATACTTATGTTTATTTAACAATGGGTTAACTTTAATATCAATTCTCACACTAGGTAGTGATGATAAGCTTGTCAAAAAAAATGTCCAATGATATAAAGTTACAGCAGAGACAGTGCCCGATCCAAAGTGAATCCCTCTCGCCTGTGATCAATCACAAATTAAATTATTTATGTTGGATTCAATTGTGATGGATACAGTCAGACCTCGTTATAGTCACTCTTGATATAGTCACAACCTTGATATAGTCACAACCTTGATATAGTCACAACCTTGATATAGTCACCCTGTTTTTTGTTCCTGGCTTATATAAAACATATAAATTTTGACCTTCATATAGTCACAACTTTTTATAATCACTGATTTTTTGTTTCCCGGCCTGGTGATTATATCAAGGTCTGACTGTATAATCCCTCACCAGTTTCAATATACGCGTAACATTAACGGTCTCTGCTGTAGTATAAAGTTTTTAAAAGTTAGAACTAACTTATAACATCTTGACTTGTCCGTTTAGAACTATTTTAATTATTACTAAATTCAAATAACAGGTAAAAATGCTTAATGTTATATGAATACTTATGTATTTTCATATAATAATTAGTCAATCAAATCATAAGTTTTTAAAAGAACAAAAAAAATACAAGACGCTATAAATAAATTTAATTACATATTTTACCATCAAGTATGCAAATATATCTTTATTTTGTAATCAATATTTGATTCTATATCAAATATAATCCAAAACTCAATGTATATGCACCTATTATAGTCTTTAATATGTTATTGTAATAGTTTTATATATATATGTTCTTGTTTATATTTTAAGAAATTAGTTTATATTTTATTAATTAATATGTACATAGTTTTGTTTTGAACTTTTAAAAGATTTATTTATGAATATTTAAATAAAAGATCATGAAAACTAAATGTCTAACGCACATTACTCTTGTTGAATCATTGTTTTCGACTTTTCTTTGATTTTTATCACCCAAACATTCAAAATTAGTTTGGTATTTCGTAATTACTTATTTCTACATATAATTTGCAAAGAAACTTGTCATATAAAAGTTGTGAGATTCAAAGGGATTCAACCGATATTATTAAAATACAGCACATAAACTTCAAGTTCATTTTGTAAGCTTGCTCATGTTTCATAGAGACAAATGCTTACACAAGCCTTGTGAAAAATACTTTAAAATGTATCATTACGATTATCATGAATCGTGTGACGTGTTACCATTTTTAAGTACATTTCCACCTGTTAATTCAAATAGATTATGCTGTTCGTAAAACCCCAATTTGAATCTGATCCATCTCTAACAAAACGATGACGCGTGTCTATGATATCAATTAATGAATAAAACACTTTCTTTGCTATGAGTAAAGGATAAATTTGAAGTTTTTTTTACATACAATAACCAAAGTACTGTGTTTGTTCTTCTGTATTCCACGTGATTAAAGCGGGTTGTATATAACAATGCCGATCAGAGGATACTTTTGCAGAATCAACGAATTCAAGATAAATTGAAACATAATCCGAATTGTGGTTTCCAAAAGGAAAAAGTAAAAAACACCTGGAAAACAATTTAAAAATTATAACTTTTACAAGCAAAAAAAAACCCCCTCGATTATGTAGAAACTGTAGAACAATGTAGAACAATGTAGGATAATTTAGGACAACATACCATTTCAAACTCCAGCCTCAAATTCAGTTAGTGATTTGCCATGAATGTTATTTTCATCTTCAATCTCATAACCAAGATCAGGTATGTATATAAACATAAAATTTTCACTTAATGAAACTTTTAATCTGTTACACCCAATCGTACCATTTTAACATTACAAGAAGAAAGTTTATATTACAAGAACAAAATATCAAGAAATCTAAGGTCCTTTCCTTCCAAAATAATTAAAAAAATGAATTAAAAGAACGGATAACGATTTCTTTTTTCTGCAATTTCTGTTATGTAAATCTTTATTTTATTCGGTAATCGGAGGCATCGATTCTGTCACATGGTATTTACATAAATACTTTTATGGCAAATTATGCCCTTATTAGAAAATCTTGACTATTTGCTACAAATACACTTTAAACGTATTCTCGTTTAATCACTATTTACTACTCAAGGATGAATTTTATTCCGGAAAATGATCACTCTATTTTCGAATTTCAAATTTCCTATACTAAATCTTATTAAAATTATTACAATATGATAAAAAAATAAGGATTTTAATCTTTATTTTTTGAGAAACAAAAAATGTTTGAAAACTGTACTTTAGAGCTTTGATTACTCGACTAGGATCCAGCTTGAGCTATGGCTGTTGGTTCCACAAGCAGAGGCATAGCATTAACTGTTGCTCCGATGGTCATGTCATGTACGTACTCTGTCACACAAACTTAGGAACCAAGAGTATAGATTTATATTTGTGTTACCTTAAACTCATAATATGCTTCTTGGTTGAATTTATCTTAACCGTGGTTAATTGGCATTAATAAATTTTGTCAAAGATCACGAAAAACATTTTTCTAATGAAATTCTAGTTAAAAGATACACTATAAATAGTAAAGTGCATTATTGACTATAAAAAAAACATAATACATTTATGACATTAAGCATGACAATGTACAATAAGTTTTTCAACTTGATAATTATAGCTACGAAAAATGTAGCAGCACAGTCAACTGAATTTAAACACAACGAAGATACTCTTCTCGACTTTATGATAACAGTTATTGTTCCAATTATTGTGTACATTAATATTGAGAAACGACAAGAAATCATTGGAGTTAACGGAATTATAATCGGTCTTGCTTCTATTTTCCTTATTTCAGCCAAGATTGGACTTTTTATATGGTTCACCATAAAAAAGTATCAAAACACTGAAGGTTTTTTCTTTATCCAATATTTAATAACTACTCTTGTTTTTAAGTTTAGCAATTTAATAGTAACACGTTTCATCAAACTATTTCTAATATCGGCATTTGTAGTATTAAATGTCGGCCTATCAATCCAAATTATTTTCTTGGTGATTTATACTTTACGTGGTTACTACAATAATGAAGACTACCTCATTGTATTAGTACCTATCTTGTTATTTTCTTTATGTGCTGATATAAGATTTATCTGGGTCATAACACATAAATCTGAAGTTGATAATATTTCTGCAAGCACGCAGTCTAAAGATTTTGAATGGAGCGCTAAAATATATAGTCAAACGTTGACAGTGATCAGTCTTTCAAGTTCTGTGCTAGCAATGTTACTTTTAGATCCCAGTGTCACTTGGATAAAACTTTACTTAACACTCGTAGTCATATCTAATACGTTATTATATTATAATATAGATTTAAATAATTACCATGTTGCTAGAGTTCAAATGACTGCAAATGAGCGTTTAAGGGATACAAATACGGAAATATAACTAAAAGCAATGAAACCATTCAATTCATTTTCAAGCATATAAAACTATTTAATTTTCTTTTCTTGCTTTAACATTTTGCAATAAATTATACGATTGTTTAATAGTTATATAAAAACTTTTAATGATTAAGGATCTGTGTTTTCATTTTTTTTTGATAGATACTGCACTGAGATTTCTCTGTTTTTATCTATTTGTGACCTTTTCATTGCATATTTATTCATTGATTTTATAACTATTTCAATATTAAAATTGCTTTCGACTTCAACATGTCTGTTGATTTTTTGGTAAAGAAATCCAATCTTCACAGTGACACACTTCATTGGAAATATGAATTATATATAATTGGCGTGCCCTAAACTGGGGAGATTGGATTTTCTTATCCAAATCAGCCGATATGTACACATATTTTTACTGCAACATTATATTACATTATATAACATTATTCACTGCATTTCTTTAGTTTGAGTCAGTTTTATTTGAATAAAAAATTTATAGTGAGATATTTTTTTTTACTGATTATAATGCTTTTCAAATTACGCATCACACATCACAGGAAACCTGAGAATCGGGAGTTTATTAATAAGATAGTTGCGCGACGTTGTCACGCGAAACAGGAACGGGAGAAGTGAGGAGTATCGGTATTGCATTTAGTAAATATATAGGTTGTGCACTATTGGACATGTGATATATGGTGGCGCAGATCCCCGAAGGACAAATAAATTTTTAGGATCATATATAACATGACATGAACAGAAAGATTCAGAGCAAACGTTCGTTTCGTCAAATTTGTTTATATTGTCAAAAATAAAAAAAAAATTTCGAATGATTCTTGTTAATTCTAACTTAAATACGAAGTTAGTTTTTATAGCAGAGTTTTTTTAGGAATTAGAAGGTAGAAGGGAGTAGTCAATACAGTAAAAATTGCCCAACAAAAACTTTTTTTAGAGCACTAAAGGTAGTAACTTTTGCAGAAATAAGTAATTTTTGACAAACCAAAAGTTTTTTTTTAATTATCTTGATAGTGTTCACAGTAGTCACAAATTAAATTATTTATGTTGGATTCAATTGTGATGGATATAATCTCTCACCAGTTTTAATATACGTGCAACATTAACGGTCCCTGCTGATCTTGAAATCGTAGTTTAAGAATCTGCGCCATAAGCCTAACACACATTCAAGATGTGAAAGAACTTTGTTTATGCCACACATCTCATGCTGCATTGCAGATTTAAAATATCACTTCGTTTCTCATAGGGTTACTCGGAACGCCATCTTAAAGAAATTTGCGTTCATTATTACATATATTATATAGATAGCAAATGTACCTTTTTATTTGATTGGTCAATGCTTTGAAATGGTAACGTCGCAAATTCAAACTGTACGTAATATTTTATCAAGTTCGATATTGCTAACTTATTTAAATTCTGATCATGGCTTTCAAGAACTCAGATTGAAATACTCTGAATTACGATTACAAAAATGATTGCAGTATAATATAAACAATTAGAATCGTTTAAATGTATTAGAATTATATTACCGTTACATACATACATATATATATATATATAATATATATATTTATGTATAATAAATCAACATTCGTAAAAAAATAAATTTTTTTCGACCAATAAAATTATTATTTACTCACTCTTAATGAGATTTAATAAAATAATTTGTATGCAAATATGAGTAAGTATTTGAGCAATTGTTTGAGAAAATATTGCATGAAAGTATTAGCAACTTGTCATTTTCATACAATCTGTACCAATTAACTGTAATAAGTAGAATTAATAATGTCGATCAATCATTAATAACTCAAGAGGTCCCATCACTACTTACTGCTATAAAGTCTTGTATAAATATTAAATATTATGATAATTGCACGTGTTCTCCTAGTTTTATGAGAAGTCATATTACACATTTGTATACTAAGTCTAACTCGCATAAAGGAAATCCCTAATCATTTTTTCGGATTTGAAATATTTCATATTCTTCTACTGAAAAATTTTCATCTATGTCTCTGATTGGAACATCATAAAAATCTTTTCGACAACACCATCTATATTGATATAGTCCCAGACTATTATCACCAAACCATGGACCATATAATACTGAACCATACCAAATTGCTTTTTCTTTATTTTTAACACGACTAATGATTGATTTCTTCTGGTTCTTATTTTGTAAAGAAAAAATAAAACTATCATCAGTTTTAGCCCACTCCGAACTATCATTTTTCACAGTTTTCCATATAAGAGGATTATAACCACCAAGTATCTCATTTTTATTTTTAACTTTTAAAACAATCACTGTACCAGGTATATTATCACATAACTTATGAAATGTTTCAGTTGCAAGCCCATCTCTACTGCCTACAAGTAATAACTCGAATTTATATGGAATTTCTTCAATATCATAAGGTTTTGAACGTCGATCAATCCAAGATGAAATTTCCGCAACATGTTGTAAAGTAATTATATTAGAACAAATTTCTGCATGTGGTAAAGTAATCATATTGGAAATTGGTTCAATAATAGTTGGCTGTCTAGAAAGATCTTGAATTATCTTTTTACGATGTGGTAATATTGGTGAAGTAATAGGTATATTTGGTGCTACTAATTTTATTACGATATCATCCCATAAATCCATTCCAAGAATATTTCGATATGGTTTAATTTTTTTTATAACTTCTTCACCAGGAATTTGAAAATATCTAATATGAGGAAGGCAATGTTTAATGGTGTTTTTTAATGAATTAAAACCCTCATTAGTCCATTGCTCAATATTAGTTGGTAAGTTTGGAATTTTTTCTTTTCCCCATAAAATAACTTTATCCCAAATTTCCACTTCTTCCATTTGTAAATCATCTCGTTTTAAAAGTGCAATTTAAGCACTTTCTTGAAGTGTGATAAAATCATCAGAATCAAATATCATGTTTGGATGTTTTACAAGAATATCATTACAAAATTGTTGTAAAGTTTTAAAGTTTTCATTATGAAAGCTTATATGATAAATACGAGAAAAATTTAAACGAAGCCAAGAAGCATGATTATTAATGAGTCGAAATTGGAGACTGTTAACTAAATCTGTAAGCATAAATTCATTAATACTGATCAATAAATCAAATATTGCTGAAGCTTCAAAATTTTCTAAAGAAATTACACCACCATAAATATATCTACATCAATATATAAAATGAAGTAAAGTTTAAAATACTATATATCATCGTTAATTTTATAATAAAAATAACTTACTTAATAATAATATTAAATGTTTTTACGGAAATATGAGGTAATTTGATTTCAATAACATCATTTTTCTTAATCGCATTTGTTAATTTTTGTCGAAAGTATAATGAACGTTGGTGCAAGATTATTGAATGCACTTTAAAATGTTGCACATTTGGTCGTTCTCCAACTTCAACAACTACATTATAATCATATCCACTATTAAGAAGTTGAGTAAGATCTTGAGAAAGCTGTTCAAGAAATTTGTCGGTCATTTTGTTATCTATTCTTACTAGCAAATAAAACCCAGTTTAGATTAACTATTTAATTTTTTTCTAACTTTTGTTAGTTTATAGAATATATTTAAACCAAATTTTTATCAAATTTAATTATCAACCATGATTTAAAGTTAAAAAAATTTGATATAAATATTTTACAAAAATAGCCGAATGTTTAAAAATTCAAATAAGTATTTATTAATGAACATCGTTTTTGGTATATGCATAATCAAATAAGCATACGTAATGACAAATGCTTATTAGATATGTATATTTATGTGATCTAATTTAATTTCTGAAAATCTGAACCAATTAATAACAGATTTTACACAATGTGTTTTTACGTAATTAGTTGCAAAAATAAATTCCGTGAAACCCTCTATCCACTTGACCTTCAAATCTTAGTGACATTTATTCTACATATCTTTTTATGTATAACAATATTATTTATTTATTTTTTTATTTCTTAATTTATCTTTAATTTTTTATTTTTTATTAGTTTTGGTTAGTTTTCATCAGGGATGTTAACAGCCCGGTCTGGTTCAGTATGATCCAAGTCTGGTCTGATCTATTATGGTCTTCAGTCTTAAAGGCTTTGCTGGCCCAGTCCAATCCAGTCTTAAGACTAACTGTGGTCTATTAATCTAAGAACATACCATATAACTAGAGATGGTAAAATCGAGGTTTTAGTGAAACTACTGCGCAGCCTGCACAGCCTGCACAGCCTACACAACCTCAGTCCTAGAGACTTTTACTCATTAGGTTTCGCGTTTATATATATAAAACATCTACTTCATATGTGTAAAGTTTGGCTCCCATCATTTTTAATTAATGCTCCAAGGTTAGTTTAAACGTCAGTTTTTGTTGTTTTGCGTTTTTTTTCACTT